TTCTACCTGAACGTGAGGAGCAGCTCCTTCAGGTCAAGGATTTTCATTGTTATCCAGACTGAAGCCGAACGTCCCTCCGTCTCTGTCCTGGTCTGTTTAAAACTTTGCTCCTCTTAAACTTTAGTTTGTGTGCAGTACCCAGCTGTGGCAGCAGAGGTCGCTGTTCCAGGACACAGGGCACTGCTGTGCACCTGCTTTATGCACATTTTTAGACAAAACTAAAATACAGAGAAATTTAAAATAACTAAAGTCTTGATCTTGGCCGAGATGTAGAAACTAAAACTCGATTTTTATTTTCATGATTTTCTGTTTGATTCAGTTTGGATTTGAAACAAACTCTACTTTAAAATCCGTTTAGTAGAAGACGAGGTATGGGACCTCGTCTCACTCTGACAGTTTTATTTTCTCGTGTTTGCAGCTGATTTAGGTGAAGTGAAGCAGGACGCAGTGACGGAGGCCGACCTGGAGCCGGAGCCAGGAGGGGGCAGCTGGTCTTCTGGGTGGGGGTCGTTTCCGTGCATTGTTTCAGAGCTGGGGGGAGGAGGAGGAGGAGGAATGAGAAAATGAAGAATACTAATGAGGGATTGTGCACGTGCGGGCATATCTGTGTTATCTGTGTGATTTATTGTGGATAAAATGATTTTGTGTGGTTTTCGTTGAGCTTTTGCTTTTTGTGCCGTTTTGACTCATTTTATTGTGGCGATTCTTTGTTTTTGTGATTAACACTCGGTCACTGTTGTTCTTTGTTCTTTTATTTGCCTGTCCTGTCCGGCACTGTACTAATAAGTGGCCCCACTGAAGGCTAACAAAAAATGTTCCCAAATGTTCGTCTTGTGGGATTCTTGTTGGTTGGGCTCATTTGTGCCACGTGTATTTTTTTAATGGTTACTTTTTTATGTGATGTTTTGATTCTTTTTTTTTTCTCCCTGCAGTCTCTACTTTGAGCCCAGGCTGTGTGTTGCAGATGTGACCAGCAGGGGGCAGCAGCTCCATAAACTCTGTCTATAGATTTGAGTTCTGGGGAAACGTGAAGATTTCTGCCTCCTGTGCTGTCCCAGCTCGTGTTTGTGCAGAAAACGGCCTGGGGGGGGACATTTCCTGCTCGCTGCGATAACAAAATAAGCTCAACAATCTTCTTCCTGCACATTAACTGCTCTGCCTCCGAGCCCACCGGCGAAGGGCGTAGATTTGGCATGGACGGAAGGGGCGTGTCCTCACCAATAATTTGATCTCTTCGAGTAAAGAACAACAAGAAAAAAAAAAACGATCTGTCAGCGTCTCATTCACCCAGCGGTGCAGAAAGAGTTAAATTACGTCCTCTACTGGAGTCCTACGTCATGTGACAAATATGGCCAATGTGATTGGCTGAGCCTTTCAGGGAGCTCTGTTTAGTTTCAGCAGCGGCAAACCTGCTGCGAGGAGGAGAGGAGGACGGCAGCAAAGAGGAAGAACCCGGATATAAGAAAGTGTTTTTCAAAGAAACCTGTAAGTCACTTAAAGTCAAGTTCACTCATGAAATGTGTCACAATAACGTCACAGCTATGCTAGGCTTTGGCCACATCAGGCTAAAACCTGTAACCATGGATACCGTGTTTGGAAACTAACTGCACAACAGCAGCACTGTTAGTTCTCTCAGTCTCAGAGCAGCATTTCTCATTTTGATTGAAGCTGTCAGAGGAAACGGCCTCGAGCAGCAGGATATTAGTTTACAGGCTGTTAGGATTATATGTCTAACATTAAAATGTTGGTGACACAATAATTTCGTCCTAATGACACTGACATATTCATAGGGTTAATTTTTGAGACAAAATATCATGAGGTAGTCATGATTGTGCAAATATCCACCTTGTAGTGCAGTTTGCACAAATTGTTGTAAAAATGCACTCAGCCTACAAACATTACTGACGAGTCAAAGTGACAGAAACACTGAAGCAGCTCGTTTTATTCTTATTGTCATGTTTGTCCTGTTTGTCAGCTGACAGATGCAGCTCTGCCATGTTGTAGCTCAGAGGTGAAGAGGTCGGAGGTCACTGATGATGATTTGGTGCTATAGATTAACTAGTATTTATTATCATGACAGTTGTCAGGCTGCTGATGTAAACTGATTCATTAGTGTAT